TATATATATATATATATATTCACTTATAGCTGACATACAATATTATACAACATCAGCTTCAGGTGTACAGTGCAGTGATCAGGCCTCTTCCCCATCCATGATGCGGTCTCCCTAGCAAGACATGTGACCACCTGACACCCCACAAAATGTTCATAACACCATCAATTACATTCCTCGAACTGTCTTCCACATCCCTGTTATTATTCATTCTTATAATCCTTTGAATTATATTTTGTTTTTTTGTGTGGAAACTGAGTGTTTAAATAACTTGCCCAGGGTCCCACAGCTGTCAAATAGTAGAACCATGATCTTGATACAGCTCTCCCTTCGAACTCTTGCCTTTTCTACCCCCCAGATTTAAAGGATCTGTAAGGCTCTTACATAAAGCATTGTAAATAACCTGTAGATGGTCTTATACATATATTTGTGTACATATGTATTTAGTTTAAAAATTGAACTATTTTTTCTAGAAATTTCTAAATGAGTATTAAAAAAATAAACAAACAAATAGACAACTAGAGTGAAACTTTTTATGGAACCTAGGGAACTTTTTAGAGTTTGTATTCCTTCTATCTGAGAGTTAGCCATACCGGTTTTTCTTGTTCCATTTCATAGTGTGGCCACTTCTACATTGCTACTAAACATACCTGCAATGTTCAACTTCTAGGAAGAAATGAACTAATTTAGAACTTGGTAGTAAATAACTCATATTTCTGACACAGTTGTTATTTTATAACATAGTAATGACATCTCAAGTGGATTTGAACAGCAATAAATGCTTTCATCTTTAATGATTCTATTTTTCACTTTAATACCTGGTTTCTATGTGCCATACGGAACCTCTTCACTGTTTTTTTTCTTTCTATTATATTTTTCTTTGGTTTCCTTTTAAAATTTCTCCTACATTTTATCTTTGCTTTGAATTATAATAAAGTACATCCAATGCTGTCAAGTAGAGATGTCACAAAAATCTATAAAGGACTGTAGGAAGTAGGAGAGGGACAGTAGCAAGCACTGCTTCTGGTTTAACAGTTGAGCATTTAAAATGATTCCTGGGGCTCATTAATTTCTTTTTCCTGACTTATAAATTTCAAAAGACAAGACCCTTTTAAAAGGAAAAAAAAAAAACCTGTAAAAGAAATTCCATACAAATAGAAATGATTGCTGTTCACCCTAAAGGTTTCCATGTAAAAGATTCTATTATCCTACAGTACCTGAATGCTTCTTCACATTTTCACATACTTGGGGAAATTAAGAAAAGATTCATGGACTTCTCCAGTAGGTGTCATGCTAAGAGCCTAATATACGGATCCTTACATGTTTGATTATGTGTCACAGAAAGGAAGCACATCCTATGTACGTAATTTCAGAAGACCTAACGCTAGCTTCCACTTCATATGTTCCAGGAAGGAGAGCACGGACTGGATGAGCACAAGCTCCACATGTATCTTTCCGCCTTGCAGTCCTTGATCCCATCTCTTTTTGCGTTAGTGCTGCAGAACGCACCTTTCTCCAGCAAAGCCAAGCTTCACGGTGAAGTGCCACAGATAGAAGGTACTGAACTTACATCATGGAAGGAAGACGTAGAGCATTAGCAGCTCAGCTTCCCGAAGAGTTGTTTTTGCTTAAAAAATCTAAAAATTTATGACAGCCTAATTACTAAAATGTATAATCTGTGGACTCTCAGGATCATAGATCTAAGGAACTATATGCCTTCATCTTTTATGGATAAGCATCATGGTATTATATTTTATAACATTTATACTTTTTCTCCATTCTTCATCTCTAATCTTTTTATAACCTTTTCTTCAGTGGCTGAAATAAGTGTTTCTTGTCATTAACAGAGCTGAATCAGTGAAAAGATTCCCTTAAAACACTTACTAGTGCCAGTTTAGGAAGCTTGTCATTTTCCCTTTTTAAATCTTTTTTTCTTTCCCAGCTGTTCCATCATATTTTTAATAGGGGAAGGTGAATATTTTATTCTTTCTTGCTGTGTCTTAGAAAGAAATATAAGCATATGCAGCAGAAGTTTTATTTTCCAAAGAAGGAATATGACTTATTTTCAGAAAGACATGAAATTGATAGCAAAAAGCCAGTATTTTCTTATCTCAGTGCCCATGTAACCAGTAAGTGACCTTTCATCCATGACACTTGGTAACCCCACTGGACCTATATATCTCTTATCGTCCCAGATAAATGGTTACAGACAAGTTATTACTATGCTGAGATCCTTAGCAGTTTTTTCAGATTTTTGAAACTGTCCATGTCTCTTATTGGCTTTCTGATAGACAAAAGAATTATAACATCAAGAACGTCAACAAACACTTAATTTTTTTAGAATTGCAGTTTTCATGTAAATGGTGGTTTACCTATAATCTTAGGGATATGAAGTACTGTGTCCAATGATACACAAAACACAGCATAAAAATTGTGTATACTGTTTGAATGTTGGTTGTACTTGGAAAATTGAGAATGAGTGGGGTAGAATTAAATATTTTAAAATGATATTGAGAAGGAAAATTCAAATTTTTAAGATAAGCCTTCCTAAAGCACTCACAGCTGGCTCTACCCCTTTGCTCCTTACTCACTTCATCTGCATGGGGACTTTCCTGTCTTTCTAATTTCCTCTTTCTCTTTCTGTCCTGCTGTAATTGGTTTGCTAGTGTGCCATAACAAACTTCCACAAACCAAGTGCTTTAACAACAGCTGTGTATCGTCTCCCAGTCTGAAGGCTAGACGTCGAAGGTGAAGGTGTCAGCAGGGCGGATTCCTTCTGAGGCTGTGAGGGAAAAGCTGTTCAGGGCCTCTCCCCTCGCTTCTGGGGGTTTGCTGGCCATCTTTGGTGTTCCTTGGCTTATAGATGCATCACCTCAATCTCTGCCTTCATCTTCACATTGCGTTCTCCCTGTGTGTATGTTGTGTGTCTCTGTGTCCAAATTTCCCCTTTTTCTAAGATCGGTTATTTTGGATTAGAGGCCCATCCTACTCCAGTGTGACCTCATTGGAACTAATTATTTCTGCAACAATGCTGTTTCCAAATAAGGTCATATTCTGAGGTTCTGGGGTTATGACTTCAACGTATGAATTTTTAGAGGACATACAGTTCAACCCATAACATTTGCTATCACCCATTCGTTTAACAAATAATTCCTTTTTTAAAATTATTATCGTTTTATTTATTTATTTATTTTTATTGGGGAACAGTGTGTTTTTCCAGGACCCATCACCTCCAAGTTGAGTAGTTGTTTCATTCTAGTTGTGGAGGGCACACCTCAGTGGCCCATGTGGGAATCGAACCAGCAACCTTTAGTATTATAAGCACTGCGCTCTAACCAACTGAGCTAACTGGCTGCCCGTAACAAATATCTTGGATGTCACCTGTTGCCAGGCATGTGCTGGATCTTGGATGTCATCTGTTGCCAGGAATGTGCTGGATGTTAGATAGAAATTTTTCAAAACAACTCTTTTACCATCCTGAACATACCAGGATACAAAAAAAATAGATGCAAGTGAACACTTTGGTCAGTGTTGCTCAAGCAGTAGTTCGCCATAATCAGAAGTGTCTGGACACTGATGGTGACCACTTCGAGCACCTCTTGTAATTTCAGAAGTCAAATGTGACTTGTATTCATCTTTTGTTATCAGTATATATTAAGTATTGATTACAATTTTAATAGTTTTTTCCTTTCTTAAAATGTGTATACATTTTTTGGGCGCCCTCTGTATTGATTCTAGTTTTATGGGACCTTTTCTTGTGATTATGTCTTCATCGTACCAAAAATAATCTTTTCTTTTCAGTTCTTGTTGACTTAATTTTTACTCTCTGACTTTTAACTGTAGCTATAAATGTTAATGTTATTATACCCACATCTAAGTTATAATGCACTTATTATAAATGGAGAAATATTATATCCTTATTTAGGGTTGATCCGTATATATCTATGTCTATGTATCTGTCTATATATACATCCATGTAATTTGGGATATAATTTAGTATAAGTGAAGATTTATTTGTTGCCTCTTAAATAATGTAAATCCACACAGATATTTTTCATTACCAATTTATTCCCCAGTGTTAACTAATATTTATGTGAGGCGCTATTTTAAACACTTGGGATACACTCATGAACAAAATAGAAAAAAATCTCTGCCATCATAGAGCTTACATTCCAGTGAGAGGGAAATATATTAAAGAGTTATACATAACAGCTGTTATTTTGCTGGATAATTGTGGTTATTTTGTTGATAATAAAATGCTGCTGTTTTCTCAGCCTATTAAAATGCCAGGCGTTTTTGTGTTGTTGTAAGTTAGATGCTCAGGTTTTGTTTAATTCTGTTAAGTAGAACGATGTGTTGACGCTCCTGAACCACTCTGATTGCTTCTCTACAATAATCGAGTAATCCAAGTAATTGTGTATTTCTCGACATTGTTTTGCTTCTATTGGACCTAGCTTTAAACCTTTGGACCTCACTTTCCCAACAGCAAATATTGACATGTCTATTTTACTTTTAACTATTCCATTATTTTTTAATAATTTGTCACTATTTTTGAAGGAATAACATTAATTCCATCATAGTATAGCAGATTCTAATCAATATGATCTAACCCTGTTTGAAATTAAATCAGATATGCTTTGAACATGATATAGAAATATGAAATACAAATATCCCTCACCACCAAATCTGATTGATTCCTGGGTTGAGATAGTAAGAATTCAACCAGAAACCTTAGATAGTGAGAGACGCCATGTTGCCCAAATTCATTTGTTTGTGTCTTACCATAGCAAAGAGAAGAGTTCAGCTAGCAAGAAATAACCTTTATCTGTACTTAATGTATTGTTTAAAGCCTTGCACATCATAGGAAGATAATAACATCTTGATGTTGTCTTTGAGCATTTTTTAAAATGAAGTGTATTTCATGTTTTCTTAAGTTTTAATAATCATCAATAAGTGTTCTGAGAAAGTGCTGCCTCCTTATTTATTTGTGTCTTTATTTATTTTCTTTTAGCTGAGCCATCCTGCCACCTGTTGGCAGCTCAGCAGCTGCTCAGCTCAAGCCGGGAATTGAACCGCTGTTGCTCAGAGCTCAAACTCTTGAGTGAGCTCTTAACCAACTGAGCCACTCAGTCGGCCGGCCCCCTTATCTGTTTGCTTTATAGTATAGGGTGTTACCCTCTTTTCAGGAGTTGCTAGGCCATTAGGAGTTTCTGACCAACAATATGCGTTATTCACTTAACAGCCTTCCAAGAAGTAGTCCCTTAATAACCTGGGATCTAATTATGATCTGTAGAATCATAAGACTAAACTTCAAAATATAGCAGTGTATATTTATGTTTTATTTATATAATTTTAAAAGTAGGTTTTTCCATTTTCCCCCGAAATCTTTAAAGTATTAGGTTGTCAGAAAAGTCATGACGTATTTTTTTGTTTTTCGTTGCAAAAATGCATCATGACTTTTCCGACAACCCAATATTTCATTTGTTTCTAAAATATGATTTGATTAATTTATTTCAGTGTTATATTCAAAATTTATAATGAGCTAATTAAATATTAGGAAGCAGAACTTTATGTTCCTTTTGACAGAATAGCTAACTGCCCAAACTGCCATTTTCCACATGACTTGTTTTGCTTCTATTACTTACAGTGACGAGGTTCCCTCGGCCTATGTCACCCCTTCAAGATGTGTCTACTATTATTGGGAGTCGTGAGCAACTGGCAGTGCTACTACAACTCTATGATTACCAGCTGGAACACGAGGGTACAACAGGCTGGGAGAGTTTACTGTGGGTTGTCAATCAATTGTAAGTACCCGCCTCCATAGTCATTCAGTACTCCTCAGTCAATTCAATGGAAGGTAGCTCACTATATTTAGCCTTGGTACTGAGGGACAAAATATAAAAAAAAGTAACAAACCATAACTTGGCATCATCTATGGTAGACTTCTTTAGGAGAGGAGAATTACACTATGGGTTATGTAGTGATTTATCTATGAAGATAGTGTTGCTGTATTAGGGCAGAAGAACCTATCTGCTGCCTTGTTGTCTCATGTTGATGATGGATTTTAAACTACATCCAGATCTCTCATTTTTGAGGCTAAGTGGATGCCATGTTAGGCAAGCTCTTGTGTGAAGCATCAAGTTCATTGGTTTGAGTCCCGTTAACTCCATGCTCAGAACTCTACCATTAAAGTTCCATATATGTTATGGCAAGCAGCTAAAATTTATTTTAAGAAGTTTATAGAGTAGAATGTAAACTTAAGACCTTTTCAAAAGGTCCCAAACAACTCCTTTGCTTTCCAATTTTACTGTTTATGAAAAGCAAAACAGAAGAGGTTGTTAGATTTGCATTGTTTCAGAAATTGGCAAGGAAACAGTAATTTATATGTATCCCCTGCCTATTTTTCTTTCCTTTCATATTCAGGTTGCCACAACTTATAGAAATAGTTGGCAAAATTAATGTTACCTCAACTGCCTGTGTCCATGAGTTCTCCAGATTTTTCTGGCGCCTTTGCCGGACATTTGGCAAAATTTTTACAAACACTAAGGTAAAAACTTGTATTCCATGTTTTCTTATATGCAAGAGCCATAGAAATGTAATGTGTTACTTAATGCTATGACAGAGTAAATAAAAGCATGAGCCCTTCCTTTACTCTATCCTTTAATATCTTAGAAAACTATAATAGTAAAAGAAAATTTTAGTCGGTAATACTCTTAGCTTTATATCTGATTTTCAGAAGATGAGTTAGCCTAAGCTTAGTTTGTATGTAGATCTACTCACTGTGGATAGGTCACAGATTTTCAGCATAGGGAGTATCAGCCGGGGAACTCAACTGCAATGTTTTGAATATATTTCTGGTACTTTAGCACCTACCACGGATGCAGGGAGCAGCTATTTGCTCAGCATCCTTCAATCAAAACCTCAGGTGATGGTGGAACCAAAGAAGCTTATATAGAAGACTTGCTCTGACAATACCAGCCCTTAGCATAGCATGGAAACTTGAGATAAATGCTGCATATTTCATTCACGACCTAAAGCGTCATTTGTCACATTTACCTACCCAGGTTATTTTGTAATTTTAGATATTAAAATTTGAATGTCCTTAGATCCCAGTTTCTTCTTTAATCCTGTTAATCCTTTTGTCTTCATAACATATTGTTAAGCTAGTTCTTTAGAGACCTAATCAAAATATAAAAACATGTAGTTGCTATAATCAAATGTTAAGACATTTGAAAGGTAAGAACTCTGTGCAGCTCTTTACTGTTAAATCTGTAAATATTGAAACATTTAAAGCACAAACAGTTTGGTACAGTGGACTGAACAAACTTCAGAAAATGGGTTATGGCCCTGTCATGTATGTGACCTCTAATAAATAATTCATCTAGGCTTAATCTTTTCATGTGTGAAATGAAGAAGTTGCTTCAGTGTCTTTTAGTTCTGTAGATGAATCTTTTAACAGTGGTCTTCACTTCAGTTTAAGTTGAATATGTAAATTCATATGCCTGACCTGCCAATAGGAGGGGAAAACCAGACCTCGATGTTACTGTAGAAGAAACAAGATCATTTTATATTTTTCACTGACATCTAATTATTAAAAAAAATAATTTGATTTTGCTGTTATCAGTAGTGACAAAAATTGTTTGACATCTCTAAAACAAGTAGCTATTTTATATATATGTATATATATACACATATACACACACACACACAAACACACACACACATATATATATATATATGCATATATATATATATGTATATATATATATATATATATATTTTTTTTTTTTAAACAAAAGCAAGGAGTTTACCTTAGCACTTATCAGTAAGTGGTTGACTTCAGGTTGAAACCTGAAGTCTGGGATGATGTTAATAATATTATTTTAAAAGGTACTTGCTCTAACTTAAAATATTAAAGTTAAATTCAGTATTAAATGTTTAAATTTAAATTTTAAGGAAGTTAAAAGGCTAAACAGATGGATATCATATGCTGTATGTTACTTATTGAATACCCTGAATGACTGCAATTTCCTTTTCATTCCTTTTAAATAAGCAAATGTTTTATTCAGTAATTCTGATCATGTAACAAACTTGTCATCAAGTTCAGTTTTAGGAGGTAGTAATTTCAAGTGTTTAAAATCATCTTGGAAATTACTTTAGTGAAGAAAACTAAAGGCCGTTCTGGAAATACTTGCTGACCTGAATTGATTTTTAAATTTTATCTGTAAAGGTGTTATTTTTAGTAACTTAACATTTCTTTTATCCAAACCTCTTAAGAATTACTGCATTTCTGACCTCATGAACCAGTGGTCTATAAAGCAAAATAAATAAATAGTAGTAGCAGTAGTAAACATTTTATTTATTTACCCATGAATTAGTCCATGAACCTGAGACTTTTTGGACCTTTTCTTTGGATTGCTTAGGTAAAACCTCAGTTCCAGGAGATTTTAAGACTATCTGAAGAAAACATTGGTAAGTTTGTTTGTTAGTACTTTTAAATGATTGAATGTATTTTTTACTCAGGAAAAATATTATATTCATTATATGCTAATTGAATAATGAGCTAGCAAGTACAATGGAAAAGGAAAAGTTTTACTATGGAGTTCCTGGTTTTACACTCTATCTAATATCTGATATCCTTCCCATGGGCTGGTGGTGAGATTAATCTTTGTCAGTTTGATTGTAAATATCTACCTTCATTGTGATCAAATTGACCTAAGGCTGAGCTTCTCAAACTGCGTACTTGTACCCTTAGAGGTTTGAAGTGGTTTAGTCAAGATACTAAAAATTACAAAATAAAGAGCATCCAATTCATAATTATTTAAAACTTCTAAAAATTAAAATGAACATAGTGGAATAGAATGCAAGATAAGAATATATGTTTTTCAAATGAAACATGGAATTTTAAAGAAACTAAAGTCTTGAACAGACGACTCCAGCCTCTCTGTTAATAGTTTTCATTCTTCTGTCTTAAGAAGTCTGGTTATAGCACCATTGACCTAAGAACCTGTTTCTATATGGATCTTATGTCCCTACGTATTTTTCTAATTTTTAGAAATAAATTATGGAAAATGTTAGAGAAAAAAATGTATAGCCACCCTCTTTTTTAAAAAACTTGGTTGATTTTGAATGTATAGATAATGCTCATCGGAGTCTTACCTGAGTGATTTGCTTTGAATGATCTAGAAAACACCATTTTGACTATCCTCAGAAGACAGAGAATGAATAAATGAATCCTTTTCTTTTAAATTGGAAAACATTGATGAGATTTTTTTTTTTGACAAATGCTTCCCAAAGTTTATACTTAATAGCTTTATAAAGGATTAATGTTTGGAATGCCTGATTATTAGTATTATCTATATAGTTAAATATTAATTCTGATGGTAAATTAGTGAAGAATATTTACATATTTTGCAAACTGATAGCTTTTATAATTATTAATTAGCTATGGATGTGTAGCTGTTCATATAGGAAATGATTACTAACCTTTGAATATACAGTCCATATATGTGACTTAAACTTAAGCTTAAGCTTATGTTCCTAGCCTCATTTACCTCTGAAGCCTCATTGTCACACTCCAGCAATATCAATACTGCTCCAAAGAAAAAAAATTACCCTTACCAAGAGAATAAACAAACCTCAAATACTAATTGATGTGAAAAACGGAACTTCCTTTTTTGCTAAAATTCTTTCGGGGCAGTTAGGTAAATACATCTTTTCAATTCAGTTTCTTTATGAAAAGAATTTAAAACCATATAAAAATGGAAAAAGAAGTAAAAAAAATTCTGAGTACATAAAAGCACACACAAAGCACTTAAAACATAATATGTAGTGCCTAAAGTTCAATAAACAAGAGCCAGATGGTGCTATAAATAATAACTTTCATGTCATCTCTGAAGCTTTTAAAATCATCTACAGGTGCCACATAAGAAAATCTCTTTTCTTTAAGGGCATTTACCTGTGATTGGATACTGTCCCCTCTCCCCCTGCTGTAGCCTGAGTCCTCTCTCCCCTGAATATAATCAGGGTTCTGTCTGGCTGGAAATTCCTAGAGGAGGCAGGAGGCGCTCTGGAACTAGGCTAGTACTGGAAACTAGGTAGTATGTCATATCTGGAAGCAGATTAGATCATGTATATGTAGGCTCCTCCTTTTAGGTGATGCCTTTACGTTTTATTAAAGACTACAAATCGAAAGCATAAAATTTTATAAAAACCTGCTTATGCAGGCACTTACTTGGGAGACTCTTAAAGAAAGCTGATTTCTGATTATGGAAATAGGAATATAGCATCTCATTTTGGTTATTAAAGTTTTTTCCCATCTATCAAAAATGTTTATGCTAATGGCTCTGTAAAAAGTATTGTTATATTTTTACAGCACCAGTGGATATGTATTTTAAATCAAAATTATTTTTTAAAGTAATGATAATATTTATTTGTAAGACTTGTAACCAGTTGTAATTTTAAATATAATTTACATTGTGATTTTTGGCTTTACTTTTAAAACATACTTGGGTTTTTAAAATTATTTTCATAATTTTAGATTCCTCAGCAAGAAATGGGGTCCTCACTAAAGCCACCGTCCCCATTTATGCAACAGGAGTTCTTACGTGTTATATTCAGGTAAGGGGAAAATCCTTTCACTGGCAAATGTAAAAGCTCTGTCTGTTTAGAAAGATACCTAATATTGTGTCTTTTTAATGGGTGTTTAAATGAAAATATTACCTACAAAGGAAAACAAAATTTATTTACTCATGTTATTCAATTAGTCCTTCATAATGGCGAACATATTTGAATAAGTCTCTGAGCAAAATGTCCATTGAACAAATAAATTTACAGATGGTGTACTTCTTGATATTTTGTTAGAACTGTTAGATTGCACTTATTTAGTAATTTCTTTGTGTTTCATGGATTTTTCATAAACAACAAAGCACACGTGGTAGGTGAAGCAGACTACAAAATATTGTAGGACACTCTACTCTGTCATCATTTCTAGCAAAGTATTTTTTGATAATACTTTATTTTTCTTAGTTGTTACCGCCTAATAAATTATCCTAAATCATAATGCTGATCAGAACCCTTTTATTTGTTCATGGTCTTTGCTCAGCTAGGCGTCCCTTCTGCTAGTCTTACTGGTGGTCACTCGTGTTGCTGTATTCAGCTGGTTGGTTGGCAAGGGGCTCAGTCTCCATGTAGTCTTAGGGCCCCCTCTCTCCACAGGGCCCCTGGAACAGCAGAACCAGACTTAACTATAGGAGCTCAGGGTTCCCAAGAGTACAAAAGCAGGATCTGCTAGGCTGTGGCCTAGGCCTGGGTTTGGCACATCACTACTGCTACATTCTATTGGTGGAAGCAAGTCACAGGCCTCGCCCACATTCAAGAGGAGGGAACTAAACAAGGGCATGGAGCAGGAGGCGTGGCTAATGGGTGCTCATCACACTCTACTCAACATTATGTTAAGTAAATTACACATGAAATGTAGTAAGGCATATGAGTCATTTTTAAGTGTTAGGCAGTCCCACCAGTAAGGTGAAAATATGGACTGAGGATAAAAGCATTTTGGGAAATTGGGATGTGAGAATCAAAAAGGAAGACCTTTTTTCTGGAATTTTTTCCCATTCATACCTAAGATTTTTTTCCCCTTTGAATTCAAAGTACAGCAATTCATATTTATTGCACTCTTCTTCCAAAACAGATTTGAACCATCTTTTAATATTAAAATGCAGTTCTACAGTATCACATGATACTTAACAGTAGAAGCTCCAACCCTGTTAAAGCAGGATGGTATTTTTGTTCAACTTTTCTACACTAATTTCTAAGACTACCTCATAATATGGATACACACAGAATCCCTGTGTGTAGAATATTGTAAGTCATGTAGCCTTAATAGATTGTAGATTGTCTCTGTTCTTAAATTCATGGTGATTAAGTCCTAACACATCGCTCTTTAATTTTAGAAGCTGTTCCAGCATCATCGCAAGAGTGATGTCAACATTTTTCTCTCTCTTTTTTAATTCCTGCAAGTTTGTATGTTGACTTTGACCACAAATAGTATCTTAAAGCACACTAAAGTACCAAGTCCAAGATTTGCCTCATAGTAGGCCCTCAGCATAGATTTGTTGAATAAATAAGGACTGTCTTTTGAGTCACTATATGAAGTCCAAATATCTAAAGAGAGAACTCTTAAGTTTGCTACAAAATGTGAAGTGAGGTAACTATCACAGATTGCCAGGTTACTTGTTTTAGGAAGCACACACCAGCAGTTAATATTTTTCTTACTAAACAAAATTTTCCTTCAGGATAAATCACTTTCCTATTTGCTTTGGTAAACAAAACCTATTTTGAATCTAATACATAAGCATTATTTTTTGTCTTGACATTTCAAAAATAAGATTGTAGTACATTTTCAAATGAAAAGAATCAACACTTAAGTATTTTCAGATTTTCAGTTCATTTAACAAATTTATGTATATTCTTTGTTTGACATAGTAGGCAACTAAAAATGGGTGAAATTTCTATTTCAACATAGCTGTGATGCTGATTTGTCTGTATGTAAGCTTTTTGTTAAGTAGACTATCATATTCTAAAGCTGTCATATCTATCCTTTATTTATCCTGATTATTTTGTCAACCCTATCTCTACCTCATTCTAAATTAACCTATGTAGAAAAAAATGATACATGGTAATCCAGTCTTCCTCGTGAGAGTTATTTATTGTTGACCTAATATGTTCCTGATGACAAAAAACTTGACTCTTAGCTTATTAAGTATTTATTTCTGATAGAATGTCAGATTCCCTTCCCTTACAGATTCAGATATATAATTTTAACATACAAAGATTTTTTTAACTTTTCTAATTTTTTTTTTTTTTTAAAGATTTCATTGGGGAATTGGGGGAGGGGAACAGCATTGAGGGACCGGGGAAGGGGAACAGCTTCAGTCTAGCTATGGAGGACGTCGCTTCACTGGCCCATGTTGGTATTATCATTGCGCTCTTCCTGGCTGAGGCAGTCGGTCACCGGCCATTGGACAGCCACTCACGGTGGCTCATGGCAGTTCTCGCCTGCCGCCGGCCACTCACGCTGGCTGCGGGCCACTCACGGTAGCCCACTGCAGCAGGGGCTGCAGCCTTCGCCATTGCCAGCTACTCACGGCAGCCCAGCTCCAGGTTGAGCTGTTGTTCACAATCTTAGTTGTAGAGGGCTCAGCATCACTGGCCCATGTGGGAACCAAACCGGGGCCCTGCTGCTCAGAGCTCACGCTCCCAAGCCAACTCTTAACCAACTGAACCACTGGGCCGGCCCTAACTTTCCTAACTTAGCAGACTTGCTTTTTTTTTTTAACATATTTCTTAATAGAGTGCTATGTAAGGAAAAAAGAAAAGTATTTTCTGATTATGAAAATAATGGTTCATTAAAGAAAGTTGAAAAATATAGATTATTTTACAATCAAAGATACTATTTCTTTCAAGAACACAATAGTTTGTATTTCCACAAGCGTGCAGTTGCTTACCACTAAGATGTTGCAAATATAATTTCTTGGAAATGAATTGTCTACTGTTAGAGGGATAGCTGTTTTAGTAGTTTGTATTTAAGTATTTAGAGCCAAAATTAATGGGAACTAAAATTGGTAAAATACATTTTGATAAAAGAATATACCCTTTTATGTTCCAAACTAGGACTATCTAATAAAGCTTTCTGCAATGATGGAAATAATCTAAATCTGAGCTGTCCCATATGTAGCTGCTAGCCACATTAAGCACTTGAATTGTATGTAGCTAGTGCAACTAAGGAGCTGAATCTTTTATTTTACTTAATTTTTTTAAACTGAAATATAAATAATCACATGTGGTGAATGGCTACCCTACTGGACAACCGAGTTCTAAATCTATGAATTAAGGTAGTCTGTCCTTATACCATTGTGATCATAAATATACTTAATAAATATCTTTAATTAAAATGCTTCCAAATTAAGTTGTTTCACCTTTATTTGGTACAATTTTCTAATGAAGGATAGGAAATTATGGTTTTAGTTCTACTTGATTGCTTGGAAATTCATTACCTGTCTTTTTCCTCGGCAGGAAGAAGACCGAAAACTGTTAGTTGGGTTCTTAGAAGATGTAATGACCCTGCTTTCATTATCTCATGCTCCTCTTGACAGCCTGAAGGCTTCTTTTGTGGAACTGGGGTAAAAAAAATAGCTTATAATTTTTTAAGTCATATAAAGTTTTTAAATTGGATTTGTAGAATATATATTTTCAGTCTAAAAAGATTGGCATTCACACCAAATCTCTTGGTGTTTGAGACTTAACGTTTTTGTCTTGTTTTTTGTTTTTGCTTCTTTATACGGTCTCAATATTTGTAATCAGTACATTATAATAAAAGAGTGAGGAAAAGGATACAGACATAGGTTTTTTTTTAAAGCAGTGGAGAAATAAAATCTAATATAGTTTTGAAGAAAACTTAAGTTTTCCCAAAACTGAAAAAGGAGCCCCAAGTGCAAGGCAAGTCATTATGTTCCTGTCTGTTCATTTGATTTGCCTGTTCCCACCCATAATCACATCATCTGTAGCTAAAGCAGTTCTAATCCAGCCTTCACTGAAAACAGACTTATGCGTCTGTTAATAACACTATCTTGCATTGTGATGGGCTTCACAGCCAACTTACCCTTCCATGTAGATGATTTGGGTTTATGTTATTTGATTCTATAACAGCCATAGGACATGTATTGCTGCTCCAGTTTTGATAGATGCAGAAATTAAGATCCACAGAGGTTGTAAATTACCCATCTGAATCTTGGTCCAGTGCTCGCTCTTTTTTTGCTCATAGGTAAATTTTATTTTTCTATATTTTAAAAATAATTTTAACTTCTTTGCTGTTAAAGAGTTGAAATATCTATCATAGTTGCAAATGCTTAGAGAAGCTAAAAGTGTATTTCCTGAGTGTGCTAAAAGTTTGTAGTTTTATAGGGTGCTTTTTGAAAGAATCTTAAATGCAACCTATTAAACCATACAAAATAATTCCATATGTTTTACCAGTATTTTTATCATTAATATTACTTATCAATGTAGCACTTTACAGTACACCAGTAAGGCACTATGGCTCTCACTATTAATACTGACTTATTTCTTTCAGTGCAAATCCAGCCTACCATGAGCTGTTGCTGACTGTTCTGTGGTATGGGGTTGTCCACACTTCGGCGCTTGTGAGGTGCACTGCTGCTAGAATGTTTGAGGTATGCAAACAGATGCTTCTGTTGGTCTGTAATATGATTTTCTCTGGAAGAGAGAGATGGGAATGTTTTCTTTTAAAAAAATGGCTTTACAAGCTATGTTATGTTGATGTATATTTTGTGGTATTGAACAGTGTCTAGTTGTGTACTGTGTGATGGAGCAGAAATTTAGCTTGGACATATTTAAGAGTGTTTTCTAGCTTTAGTGGTTCCTTGGATGTTATTCTAGTATCAGTTCCATTTCTGAAATTTTCTTTTAACTCTTATTTTAATTTCCATCCTAAGTAAATCTTTCTGACTGTACTTTTCTATTTACTGAGGTATATGGCAACTAAAATAAACTAAAACAATATTGGATATTTTTAAAGTTGTAAAATATAATTGGATTCGTGAGTAGCATTAAATCAATGACTGCAGTTATGGAACTATTTATTTTATTGATTACTCCTACTTCATTATTCCCTCACATGTTATATCTGAAATAACATCCCTATGGATTATTGGCGCATAGATTTATAAAAGAGAATAAACTATTCATATAATTTAACTGGATTTTCTTAAATTGCCACCAAGTTAAATATGAAAATTGACATACCTATTTATTGTACTCATGATAGAGGAAAATTATGTCACCTAGTGTATGTGTATATACATTATATATATATATATATATATATATATATATATATATATATATATATATGTACATGCACACACGCATTTCTAGAACTTGTATTTGAGCACTGAAATTGGTTTAGAGTATTTCTTATTGCTAGAGCCTTGCCAGAGAGTGCCTGGGTTCAGTCTCTGTCTCAGCCATTTAGTGGCAAGTTCAAACTTCTCTGTGCCTTAGTTTCCTCATCTACAAAATGAAAATGTTAATAAGTATTCATCCCAGAGGATTTTCGTTAATATTAAGAATACTTGTAAAACCCTTAAATTAGTGTCTGGCACATAATAAGAGTTTGTTAAATGTTAACTGTCATTTTTTTTATTAATGCTGTTATTTCACAAAATAATATGTTTAGGGAACATATATTTATCCAGATTAAAATGTCCCTAATATGCATGTGATTCTTAAAATATCTTTAAAGCATTTATTTCCATAAGAACTGGATAATTCAATTATTTCTGAATTTCAGAATTTTCCCACAATTTATGATAAATTGCAATTTGAAAGACAAAGCACTGATTAAATAAAAATAAATAGTTTTAAAACTTTTAAATGTATAAAATTGATTTCTGGAATCTAAAGAAAACTTCACTGTTATCAGAAGGTTGAAAATCCTCTGTCCATGTTATTTCCTCAGTTATTGTACACATTTTAAAAATAGATGTATAATCAAGCGTTCTTTTTCAAGGTGAATGTCAAATTGAAAATTGAATTTGATGTCTAGTGTAAGTTCCTGCTGGGTGTAAATAATTTTTTATTATTTAGTATGCTGAAAAAGAGTCATTACCATGAAAGAAAAAAGTCTTTCTTTAGTTCTCTCCTTCCCCTGAAAAGAAAAAAGCATCCCTTTAAATGAAGAGCTAATTCTTTAATATACTCTCTTCATAGGTTTATATTCTAAGACTATAAAAGCTATTGCTTTCTCTTAAACCATTTGTTTTTAAAATGTATGTATGCACCAGTGAAGCTATCATATAAGTGAAAATAATTTAAATAAATAAAATGAAGTATCCTCTCTTTTTATTTGTTTTTGAGTTTTTTCTTCCTTATTTCTTTTATGTGGCTTTTGTCTGGTTTTGGTTTCTATGTTTGCTGTCAGAGCTGGTCTGGAAACTATGCCTGTGCTTAAGCAGTTTGCAGGGTTCTCTCAGGTTGTTTATGAACTAAGTCTAATTCGAGAGATTATATAAATATGTTTTCGAATTCACTTATGATAGAAAATTTTCACTGAGCATGCCAGTAAAAGTCATCAGTTGGAAAAATTAAAGTTACTTTTTTGTCAATGACCCTAATTTTAAACAAAATTGTATTAAGGGAATAAGTATATTTCATAAGATCTCTTTTGATGCTAATACTTTATAATTTACGGTTATGCCTATTTCTCTCCGAAATGAGTTAATTCAAATTAAAAACATAAAAATAGGACACTTAAAATTTTTTAAATTTTACATGTAAAACCAGATACTGGTTGAAAAGAAGGCAAAAACTGACATACCAGGAACATAATATGAGGTACTTTAGTGAAATTGAATACTAATTTAGCTCTGAGTCTTCAGACAGCAGGACAAAAAAGGGAAACCCAGTCAGTTTTCTTATTCTCATTGTAAAATAAGAGGCGCAATACGTTACTTTTTGAAGTAGCAACTTATTGTTGGAATTGATTTATAGAGACTTTATCTTGTGACTCCCACTGTGACATAATGGACTTCCCAAAAAATGCAGAAAATAACTTCCTATAATGATTTTTCATATCGATCATCAGGAAATTAAGCATTGTAACACTAGACTGCAGCTCACAGAAGGCATGGGCTTTAAGACAGTGACGGAACCTGTTTTCTAGCTGCATTTCTAAAACTGTGGGCAAGTTAGCTTCTCTAAGGCTCATTTCTTCATCTGTTAAAACAGTGGTAATAATTGTATTTTAACCTAATCAGGTTCCGCATCAAATGATATATTGTGTGTAAAATGTGTAATAATTGATAGCTCTTAAATTTTGCTTTCTGACTTTCTAGCTTAATAAAGAAATTAAAAAGTCTGGAGCAATGAAAAAAACTAACTTGTCATGTAGATTGCCCTTGTTTTCTTGAATGCTTTTTGGCTGGCACAAAAATAGACATTTTAAGATACACTTTGCTGATTCAAATCTAAGCTATCTTATTATATTTATAAAATGATGCAGAGATAAGAGTTTTATTTAACAGTATTTGAACTTCCTTTGCCCTATTTCTTTCTACCTGACATCAGCAGTGTTTAAGGTAGTAACAAAAATTCTTACGTCATTTTATTCCTGCTCAATTACCAATGGTTTTTTATAAAAAGTATTTCAGAATATTGAAGTAGATTCTAAAATGAATCAGTTGTTAAATGGTAACAGGTTATTGTAAAATTAAGCATTTTCACATAACGAGAGCTCTGCTCTCTGACATGTGTAGGAGGAATGTGTTAACATACTCACACAGTGGTGGGTTCTGTTACTAAAAATTCCATGGCATCTTTTATCCTCCAAGAGGACTAGTTCATTAAAAGGTGAACAGATGGTTTGGCATTGAGGATTAATTTGTGTTTACATTCTGAAATTGAGAATTTAGCATTAGGATTTGTCCTCCTCTGTGGAGCTCATTAAATTCAGTATTTTTTTATAAAAAACAAGATGCAAACTTCTCAACATTGTCCCCTTGTTCTATGATTTAGGCTTGGTTGCTAAATGAATTGCTTTTATGGATAGACCGTAGAGATGGGTCTAATTGTGCTCATCATATATGCTTTATTTACTTGATCTTGTAGAGAAATGTAAAACAAAGAACTGTTTGTAAACGTTAACGACTTGGACCAGCCAAAAAAATTTTTTGTTTTTTTAATGTATTTTTTATTGAGGTACCATTGGTTTATAACGTTATATAAGTTAAAACATCTGTATGTACTACGTTGTGCTCACCACCAAAAGTCTAGTTTCCATCTGTCATCATACAATAAAAATGTCTTTAATTAATAATTTTCCCCCAAAATATATCATAAATCTTATACCCTTGGAGTTCTTATAATGAGTAAACTCATCTTTCTTGAATGCCTAGTCTTTGTCAGACACAATATTTAGGTATAGTGTATGCAATTAGTAGCATAACAATCCTTTCAGGTAGATGACAGTATCATCATTTTCAGATGAGAAAACTGAGTTTCAAGAGATGATGTAACATATCTAAGGCCATGTGGCTAATAAGTGGAGAGCTAGAGTCTAAAACCCAGACCTGATTCCCACGTGTAATACTTTCCACTAGGTTGTGTTATATCTCTGTACCTCAAAAGAGAAAGTCATGTGATGTAAAAAGTTGGGGATTTTCCCATGCGATTTTTAAATTTACTTCCTATAGAACAATTAGAAGCAATATAGCAGTGGCTGCTAGCCATTTGAGTTCGGTTTAAAAACAGTCCAGTTTGTACCTTGTTGGTCATAATAAAATCACACCAGATTTACTTAAAGAATTTTAACCATAGAGCCCCATATGTATCTTCTTTTTAGCTCTTTTTTTTATAAAAAGTAAAGTTTTCTTTCAAATTGCATTTTAATTGAACATGGAAATTGCATAGACTATTTGACCAAAAGTACGAACTGCCATTGAAATGGTGACAAACTGTTTTCGTGAACTGCTAGGCTGTTTAAGCTTTATTTTCCTCCTCAGCATTCTCTGCCTTTATAAAGCACTCTAGTAGCAGTATTTGCTTAGCTTCTAATTTTGTTTTTGCTTTTGTGTTTTCTCTCTTTCTTGTGGTTATTCCTTTCTTCTCCCCATGGCATTGTGTTTGCTCTTTCCATGAATCACCTGTGAATACCCCCTGCGCTGACCAATCAGCTGTTGGTGAAGGGGGTGAATGAAACTCTGGTAGCTCAGAGGGTTGTTCCTGCTCTCATTACTCTCTCCAGCGACCCCGAAATGTAAGTGTGGTCCCTGCCTTTTACACTCAGCATCCATTTCTAAATGCGCCTGTCAAGAAGTAACCATCAGCTTTGAAATTCATTGGAGAATATATTTATCTCTTTAAAATTCTAATTTTTGCGTACGCTTACTTGATTTTAAACTTTATCATGCCTAGTATTTAAGTCAGCCTTCACTGTAAGCCTAATTTGGAGGCCATATATTAAAAATATCTCTATTTATAGTATTAATTCTCAAGAAATATTTTCAGTGCTTAAAACATGCTGATGGACTATTTCTTCCAAGCCAAGAAGGGATGCTCTGCTAATCTCACTAACGTTGGTACCAGTAAGTATAGTGGCATGAACCAAAGGCTGTTAACAATTTAATGTCTCGAGTGGGTGACTAAACCAAGAGAGGCCAATGAATCTGCCTGCCCATCCTCAGTCACAGCTAACCCAGTTCTCATTCCAGTTTACCAAACCATTCTTTATTGCATGTTGACTGGTTTACAGCTGACTCTTCGAGGCATGAGCGAAGCATTAGTTGACAAGCGGGTTGCTCCGGCCCTTGTCACCTTGTCCAGTGATCCTGAATTGTGAGTTTCACAGACTGCGACCTTAAGTTATCCTGTCTGTCTTTTTGAGCATTCTTCTTGGTCTGCTTTTTAAATTTTAATTTGTCATTGCTAGAGACTAATACGGTATATTTACCTTGTATTTACCTTGACATACATTTTAATAATGATTAGTGTTTCATCTCAAAGAAAGCTTCAGTTTCTTTCTCTTTTAATTCTAACAGCTCTGTCAGGATTGCCACAATTCCAGCCTTTGGCACTATTATGGAAACAGTTATTCAAAGAGAGGTAGGAAATGACTGAAATTTATGTCTATCTATGTGCGGTTACGGTGATCATAACACATTACCATACACAGAGCTGGTGGTACAGGGCAGGAAACATCATACCTTTCATTTTATTTCTTGGTTAGTTGTAAACTGAAAGAGTATCTCAGTATTGAAAACATGATAGCCTCCCCAAAGTATATTTTCATGTCCTAAGGAAATCTCTAGTCTTCTCAGTTAGAAAATTACGTATAAGCAACTCTCAGATGTTCTATTTTAGGCCTAGCTGGATATTGCAGTTTTGGTTAATCCTTCAAACCAGGTCTCATTCCAGAGCCTTTTATTGTCCAATAGACTTCTAGACAGTCTCCATAAATTCCTGATTACCACTTTGTACAGATGTGAAGACTGTTTTGTCAGATGACTTTAGAACACAGCCCTACCTCAGTGTCACAAACAGGCTGGAGGGCACCTGTATTCTCTTGACTGTCACTGATATCAAGCTGCAAGTCGTCTGGTAGACTGGTGTCATCTTTTTGCAGCACACATCACAATGACAACGCTCTGTCATGCCTGCTTCAGATTACCAAGGTCTTCCTTCCCAAAAGCGTATTTCAAGCAAAAACTTATGATTTAATTTCAAGTTTGTTAGGTTCTATCTGCAGCATTAACTAGAAGCACTTCTCAAAATTAGCATCAAAATTACATTCTTTATTATCAAGTTGGACATGTCCTTATACAGATGAAAAACTCTGTAGGTTAGAAAATAAATTATTTGTTACCACATTATTTAGCCACTTAAATAAAAGACAAGATTTTTTATCTAGTAGACATTTGCCAAAAAAAGAAAAACTATTTTGTAAAATTCCTTTGTCATATAGATTTTTGTAACAAAAATTAAACAACTTTGTTAGCTATAGAAAAATGTTTTCCATTTTTAACTTATATATTTCACTGGTGAAGCGACATAAAAAAAAGTACATTATTCTGCAAAGCTTGCAGTCTTAGCAGAATTTCAACATGTTCTTAAATCCTAAAATAAAAATGTCTTTTAAGGAAATGTGAGTAAGATGTAAGTCATTAATGAGTCATAGCTTTCAGGTCAATAATTGGGTAACTTACACTGGTTTGTTTTAAGAATTATGATTTAGATATCAAATCCTCTTAAATTCATCTCTTTTTCTCTAAATATTATGGGGTCTTTTCACTTGTTTTTGCAGTTTGCCAGGCAATATTTTTTATGTTCAAAAAACAAAAAATGAGGAATTAACAAGCATACACAAAAATATAAAACCTTTTCTGAGCCAGAAGACTAAATAAGCACGTCTTTGATTTCAAATTTCTTCTGTCATGTTGATATAAAACATTTGAATCCAATGCTGCACGCCATCTTTAATGTGTATCTTTCTCTTTAATAATGCTACTCAATTATTAATACTCTATAAAATGACTGTACAATATCCAATTTGAAGTTGCTGGAAAGAGTGAAAATGCAGTTGGCTTCTTTCCTGGAAGATCCTCAGTATCAGGACCAATATGCTTTGCATACAGAGATCATAAAAACGTTTGGTAGAGTTGGGCCTAATGCAGAACCAAGGTTCCGAGATGAATGTAAGTTGCCTTTTTCTACCTTTTTTCCTGAATTATATTATCAGAGCCAGACGCTTCTCTGAGCATTTGTCTGTTAAATTCTTTCTACAATAGCTTTCGTATACTGAAAGCTGAACGTGAAACGAGCTGGTTATTGTGAATTACTCGGTGTTACTGTTGCTGGGTGTTTTCTTATATATACTGATGGCTGTAAGACAGGAAAAGTAATTCAAACAATTTCAAGTTATTTTAAAAAGATTTCTTAATAACTGTTAATTTCAACATATTGTGCTGTCTTCTATTTAAAGCTTATTATTTAATTCTTATTTTTAAAGAAATGTTTGTTTCCAGATATATTCTTATAAAAATATGCATTTCCTCCACTTAGCATGCTACTCAGCTATGATAGATCATTTTGTTTTAATTCACAGCTTGTTGATCTGCTAACTGATCTGCATGATTATCTGAAGCATTTTCTCTTGTTTCTTTAATATCTTTTCACTGCGGGCCTCAACCTTTAAGATAACAATTTCTTTGGGATGCATCAAAGCATCGAAGAATTATTGCTCCAGATACATGTCCGTTATTGCTGCTGTGCTTTAGTCCTTTTATTTTTAGCAATTTGGCACACTCTGTAGAGGACTTCGAGTTTGACTTCTTTTAGTCAGTTTGCTTTCTAGTACAAAATTGGATTCTGCCACAAACTAGTTATTGCATATCCAGCCTGGTATTTTTAAGATAAGAGTCATCTACAAAAAATATTGTCAGGATTTGGACTGCAGTGTTCAAAAGGTCTGTTGAGATCAAGAACAGTTTTTGAGCCATAGAAACACAATCACAAGATTATTTTTCAGTGGGTAACATGAGGAGAAAAATAACATTTGATAATTAGGTAACAGAAAAAGGTTTGGTATTTTAGTTGGCGATAGGGATAGTTCCACATGTTGTAGCATCAGATTTGTAGGTGACCCTAATAAAAATTCTGAAGGTGCTATGACTAACTTTGTAGAGGCTCTAATCACTCTGAGGCAAGGAGAATAACCTTGGCTCCTGGATCAAGGAGTAGGCTCAATAGGCAATGGGTCTTCGGTGGGCACCATATTGAGTTAACTTTCTAGACTGTGATCTAACCCTTTTGAGTACATTCAAAAGAAAGGTTTATATGTCACAGGGAAGAAAATTTTTCTTTTCATAATGGTCTCAAAATAATATTGAAAAGTTGGCTTGCTAACCTGTATTTAGAAGACTCAGTCTTAGGCAGCAGGGGTCCTCATTGCTACCGATTGGTTACTATGTCTTGGGCCATCATTTTTATTTTAGTAGTAGGTTGTCTATATTTTTGAAATTTTACATTATTTGTTGAGCTATAAGATATTGAGTCCATTGAGTGACTTGAAAACTCAACCACCAGTGCTGTTTGACATTGGTCTTTGCTAAAAATTTGAGAAACTAAAGCTAATAATAGTTTTATGAAGAAGTGAAATAATTTGATGTTGGAAAAGAATATACTGTTTAACTTTTGTTTAATAGCAATGGTAATACCAAATTTTTCTAAAGAAACTTATTCGTAAAGGTAACAGCCACACAAGAGGTAGGTTGTTTATATTCGTTTATTTGGTTTTCATTTTTCAAATTGGAAAATCGAATTGCAATGAGGCCAAATGACCTGTATACATCTTCATAATTAGTTTATAGTGACAGTGCTATAATCTGTTTCTCCCAAATCCCAGATCACTCTTTATTCTGAAAACACATGCTTTCTTCCCTGGTAAGAGAAAGCACTGTGGGTATTCTTTTGAAAATCATCTAGAATTAAAATGAAATTTTATAAATGAAAATGAAAAATTATTTTTTAAGATATATGAGTGTTGTTGTGTGTGTTGTATGTGTTTTGTTTTGGATAAAAATGTAACAGTTTCTTTTTCTTTTTTCCAGTTGTTATACCACATTTGCACAAGTTAGCCTTGGTGAACAACTTACAAATTGTGGATTCTAAAAGACTGGACATCGCTACCCATCTTTTTGAAGCCTACAGTGCACTTTCCTGTTGTTGTATCCTTGATTATTTATATAACAAATATTAATATAACAAATCTTACAGTGAACATCAGGTTTTAAAGGTTAAGAAGCAGAATTTTATTTCTTTAACTTTATTACTTCTGTAATAAATATTGCAGAAAATTAAAAATTTGATTTGACTTGCGCCACTCCTTATTCTAGCCATCTCATCATTTTACAAGATAATTTTCAGTCCTCTGTGCTTGTACGTTCTGTAGTGTTAAAAGCACTGACTAAAGTTTTACTTATGTCAATCAGCTATATAACTGAGAAAAAAATGAATTATAGTTCAGGCATCTGTTAATCAAAAGGAAGCTTGTATGTGTTCTGGCGTTTGGGCTTTACAATGACTATTGAACCATCTGTATCCAGTGGAATACTGTGACTACCTCTTGCAGAGATGTCACTCACCGAAAAAGTGTGGTGCCCATAAGGCTTCTCATCTCAGTGATGATAGACGTGGAGGCAGACTCCGAGATGTCTAACTGATGTCAACCCCAGCATCTTACAGGTGATTAAACTGAAGCTTACGTTAGTGACTTTTTCTGGTTTTTATCATTAAAAGGCAAAACTGTAACTAGAACAAAGAACTTTAGCTATCCTCTTAAATGTCTTCCTTACTCTTGTGGACTTAGTAAAATAAAACTAAGAAGGAAGTAAAGATAAAGATAGGCAAAGTAAACTTAGCTTCTAGGCCTCCCATTAAAAGGCAGATGAGTTCAAGAAAGGGGAAATAAGAGGTTGAAAAAGGAGTGAAAGGCAATTACTCAGAACTATAAAAGTACATGCTAGACAACATAATCAGACAATTGTGATTATGACAGATAAGAAATGACAGTAGAGAGAGGTTTCTGGTGATTCATAGGAGAAAACAGAGGACGAAGGAAGCGTTCCAGGGTTAATACTCATGGTTCCATATGTTTTATACCAGTTTGAAGTAATAAAATGAACAGTTCCTTTTAAATAAGACAAACATGTTCCAGAATGCCACTGACATTCATTGGCACTGGAGTCTTGACTGGAAATTCCAATGGGAGGTTATTTTTGTTCAGAATAAATCAAATTGAGAAAGTACAAACTGAAAGCTATTAATTGAGGAGCTATTTGTCCTTTTGAAAATGTTAAAACTTGAAGTTGGATGCATGGTTGAGACCATTTTATTTTGGGAATCTACTACAAATTATTCATCTGGATGATGTAAGCCATGTTTGTTTTTTTGTTTTTTGTTTTTTTATAATACCAGATTATAAAGTGGTCAGAGACACCATATTTGATAATATTGTACCTCAACTATCCACATAACTATAATTACCCATAGTCCATATTCTATAAGTTTAATTCCACTGAAAGGAGAACTGATTACCATTCTCGATTAATCTTGTTGGCATTTTCAACTTGGAGAAGATAGAGGAAGCAAAAAGAGGAAGTGATATTCTGAATTAGCAAGGAAGAACTCTTCCGTAATGGAGAAGTAACAGGACCCTTACAAGAAAGTAACTATGGCATAGCAGAGTTTGTAGTTCAAAGAAAGAAAATATTAGCATTTTTATACCTGTTCCCTAGATGTTTAAAAACTGAAGTGAAAAGCTGTGTATATTCTTAAATAGCAGAGTTTCTAAAGGAAGGTGCCTCGAGGGAAATGGGAAAGTTGAAAGATCAAAAACTCTAGCTCTGTAAAGCTAAATTTTCCAAGTGGGTAAAGCATTGGTTTCTAAAGAGCCTAGAAGTCTGTAGAGGAGGAATATTACTGTGTGTTTAAGTGCACCCCGAGTATTACTGGAGTAAATGCAGTCAAAAGTCTTCATACCAGTACAGCAAGGGGAAGACCATTTTAGCCATAGACCCTGTTCAAGTACTAAAAATGTTAGTTCTGCATGAGTCAGAACTTGTGCTTGTGTCAACAGGGTGTTCTGGCCACTAATCCAAATCTGTTCTGCTGTTCCATTGCATTCTGAGCTGGGAGAACACAAGAGTATTCCTTTCAACCCCAACATGATATTTTAATAAAGATGTAGAAAAACCATAGTGTGTAGGAGTTGGCATAGTAATAAGTCAAGAAGTCATTTTTTAAACAATTATGAAGGAAGTTACAAATGTTTAACCTGGAGAAGAGATAGCTTGGGGGTGAAAAGATAACTCAAAAATTATTTTGAAGGTCGTTATTGTAGGGCACGCTGTGTAACTAAGGTGCAGAGCTAACGAGCAGAGGTCAGAGAGAGGCCGATTTTGTTTATTAGAGAAACTTTCTAATTGAGTTATCTAAAAATGCAGTGATTTCTCTAATGAAACTGTGTATGTCCTGTCATTGTTAGCATCAGAGGCCTTATGACCATCCACGATGAGGTAGAGGTTGATTCCTAACATGAGATAAGACTAAATGACCTCTGAGTCTTCAGCCCTGAAGAAAGGATTGTGTGATTCCATGAGGAAAAGGTGGGACCAAATAGTGAAGAGAAAAAGAGGAGCGTGAATTCCCTTAACTCCAAATAAAGCCATCTTCAGCTTCTCAATCCATGCCCATATTTCTCCAAATCAGACTCTTAACTACTAACCCAAAGGTCACTCACAGTTATATCTTGGTGGTACTTTCCCCATATCTGGAGAACAAGACTGTATAACCATTAAGTTGCAGCACTATGTATGTCTATAGGGATTTGGTTCAACAAATGATGTCTGTATTTTTAGTACTGCCTATTTATAAGTCACTTATTATAGGAGCCTTATTTACAAACAGTTTTTATTTATACATATTTTTTTCTTTTTTTATTTGGATGCCAGACTAAATATGTTTATTTACTTAAGACCATTTTTAACACATTGAGGATGGGGCATTCAAATGTATAGACGCAAATCTGCGTCACTGGTCCACAGTGTGTTAAGTCCATAGTTATATATTCCACAGATTTCTTTTTACTTAATGAAATTCATTATAATTTTTTTTTTCCAAAAAAGAGTAACTCATCTTTATAAGGGAACTCACTGACTGGCATTTTTCACTTGAATATGGTATAACATTTAAAAAGAACTATTTTTAAATGGCTAACAACTATAATAAGGTGAGAATGTGTCGGAATTGATATTAATAAACAAGGTGAATTGTTTTCTTGAAAAATGTATCTACTTTCCTGATTCCTTTGAATGTCAATATAATCAACTAAAACTCGAAGATGACCAGGAAATATAACTAGTGTTATTAAACTTAGATTATTACAGTAAAAGCTTTCTCACCCAAATCAATTAGGACCAATAGTAGATCAGTTTAATAGGATGATTAAAGCAAGAAATCAGGAGACCCGTATATACTTATGGTAGCTTAATTTAACAACATAAATTTTCTTTTACCAATCTTGTGATGTAAGATGAGGTATTTCTTTGAGTCTGCTGATTAGAGTTAAACATCATCTTTCTTAGATAGACCACATCTATGTTATTGTCTGTGATTTTCAGTTTAAGTTTCTTTAAAGAGGATCCAGAAACATTTCTGATACTGGGTATATAGAATTTTTCTAGTTTTGTATATTTTTCCTAATCTTTTACAGTTGTCTCATGAATATATAATTAAATATAATGTTTTAAGCAATTGGCCTTTGTCAGTTTTTTTCCTAAAACTTGCAACTTTATTGTCATGGAAACATCAATTTTCTTACTTTTCATACTTTGTACTCATTTAGACATCCAATCAAATGATTTGATTTTCACACATTTCATATGTTTATGTAACATGTAATTAAATTGTGTAATGTAACAATAATGACATAAATTTGTGGGAGTAAACACAATTGACTCTTGAGAAGTCACTAAACATGAGAGTCATGCTTGAGAGAGGCCTGTTTGCCCTAAGCCATCCGCATGCAATAGGCATCATTTAAAAGAGCTGCTTTTATATTATTCTGCTGTTCTATTGGACATACCAGCCTGTGCTTTTTTCCTTCCTTAACTGCATTGCCTCCAGTCATTTCAGAAGATTTAATGGTTAATCACTTTTTACCTGGCCTCCGATGTTTGCGGATTGACATGGAGCACCTTTCTCCAGAGCATGAGGTAAGCGACTGTGGGGATAAAGTCACTGTGAGTATCGGTGGCACGGTCATGTATTTTCATGTCTCCTATGCAGACTTTTGTTCCTCTTTATGTGTCGCGTGGTTATGATACCGTGTTCTCAATTTTTTTTTAATCAGTTCAATGTTATTTTATGGATTTATTTACTAGTTATGCAGTCTTGAGCAGCTCCTTGAACATCTTTGAGCCTCTGTTTAATTCTCTAAAGTAGGGATTACATACTCTCCTTCACTGAATATATTTAGAATTTAAGAAGATAATGTACACGAAGTGCTTTTCATCTATAAAATGCTATAGTGTCATCTCAGACCATCAGCTTTCTTGCAAGTAAGATATCTGTTTTCTATCTCCATTTCCTCATAACTCTTTCACTCTATTTGTCCTCCTATTTCCTTGAACACCCTATTTATCATTTATTTCTTATCCTGTATCTTCAGCCTGTCTTTCTACGGCATTTTTTTTAATCTATCATGGTTGACTCTCCCCCTCTTAAAGGAAGCAAAACAAACCAAAAAGAAAAACTTCCCTTCACCCCTCCTCTGAATCCCTTTTTCCTCCCGTTAGTCTGTGCTCACTGTCTCAATTTGCACACCGTCTGTTGGTATATGTTCACTAGTATCACACTAATCCAATGAAACTGCTGTTCCTAAGGTCACTGGTGATCAGTGCTACACTGAAAGGACGTTTTTCAGACCTGGTCCGAGTATATAGGAGTACAAACCTTTTTTATCCATGTCTTTGTAACACTTGGTATTCTTAAGACTTTTTAATTTGGTGGATATAAAATGGTATCTCATTATGGTTTTCATTTCCCCGTTATTTCCTCTGTATATATCAGAGTTTGTTATATACTGGGAATACCAGTATTTTTTCACTTTTGTGTTTTATGAATATCTTTTTAAATTTGTTTTATGTTTTTCACATTTTTGGCACCTTTGAGCACTGATTCTTACTTTTTAATAGATTGATCATTTCCAAAAGACATTACCTCTTACACTTTCTTCTAAAATGTTTAAGGTTGTATTTGCACAATAAAATTCTTAATCCATCTAGAATTGGTTTTTATGTATGATGTGAGGTGCTCCAATTACATTTTTTTTCTATATGGATAACCAGTTTCATTTTCATTTATTGATCAGCTCATCCTGTCTGTACTGATTGGCAATGCCATCTCTCATATATGGAGTGTCCATGTATGCACGTGTCTCTTATTAGGGAACATTCTTTCCATTGGTCTCTTGGTCAATTATTGTAACAATGACACAGTCTTCACGCTGTGGTCTTGTTAGAATGTGCTGAAATCTAGTAGAGCAAGTGCAGCATCCTGGCCCTTTTAGAACTGTTCATGACCCTTAGCTTTTTCTTATAAATCTTAGCATTATCTTACCAGGTTCCAAGAAAAATCTCATTCAGATTATTATTGAAATTGAATTCATTTTATAAATTAATTCAGGGAGACATCACCTTCATGATTTTAAGTTTTCTAGTCAGAACATGCTATATCTTACATTTATGTAGATCTCCTTTAATGTCTTTCAGTAAAGCTTTATAATTTCATCTGAGAAAATGTAACACCTTATATCTATAAGGTTATAATGCTATCTGTTTTAGGATTATATATATATATTTTTAACCCTTTCTTGCTTTTGTATAGAAATAAAAACAAAAAACCAAATTTGTGTATGTTGAAATTATGTTTGGCCAACATGAGAAACTTTATTACTAATTCTAATAATAAAATGTCTCTGGATTTTGTGTGTGTGTGTGTATGTTTTATATGTAGAAAAGTCAACTGCAAATAATGTATGCCTTTCTAATACTCTCACTTTTATTTTTGTCTTGTCTTTTTTTTTTTTTAAGGTTTTATTGGGGAATTGGGGAAGGGAAACATCCAAGTTGTTGTCCTTCATTCAATCTTAGTTATGGAGGGTGCAGCTAGCTCAGCTCCAAGTCCAGTCACCATCCAGCCGCCCATCGGCAGCTCAGAGCCGCTCAGCTCAAGGTGTCATGTTCAATCTTAGTTGCAGCTGGGCATAGCCCACCATCCCATGCGGGAGTCGAACCGGAACTTTGTTGTTAGGAGCACGTGCTCTCACCAGCTGAGCTATCCTGCCCCCTGTTGGCAGCTCAGTAGCAGCTCAGCTCAGGCGCAGCTCACTGGCCCATGTGGGAATCGAACCGGCGACCCTGTTACTCAGAACTCATGCTCTTAACCAACTGAGCCACTTGGCCGGCCCCTTCCCTTTTGTCTTATTGTAAGATCTGTATTGCTGTCCCTTTTTCACTTCTGATATTATTAACTTGTTTCTTGCTTTCTTTTTAAAATACTTTTGATTGGAATTTATCTGTTTTATTAATCTTTTTAAATATTGAGCTTTTGGCTCTGTTGATTTTTCTTTATTTTCTATTTTATTGATTTCTGTTTTCATCTTTATTTCCTTTTGCTTTATTTAGATTTAATTTTTTTCTAGTTTTCTAATTTTTTAAGGAGGAAGCTTAGATTATTTATTTCTAACACATGAATTTAAGGCTGTTAAATATTCTTTTAGCCACATCCCGTGCATTTGCTGTGTAGTATCTTCATTATCATTCAATTCATATTAGAGTCTCATTTCTATTATTTCTTTCTTGATCCATGTATTTTGTTTAATAAGGTAAGGGTAGTCAATTTTATGATGCAGTTCTATGTTTGTATCAGTTTTTGTGATCTGCTTGTTCTGTCAACTATTGAAAGATGTGTTAAAATTGTGATTGGGAATTGTCTGTTTCTCCTTTTAGATTTTTCAATTTTTGCTTTGTATATTTTATAGATGCCCTTTATCTGGTTGAGGAAGTTCCCTTTTGCTAATTGGTTGAGTAATCAATTGAGATGATCAAATGGTTATTGTTTTTTCATCTCTTGATACAGTGATTTACACTAATAATTTTTGGATGTTAAATCAACCTTTGTTTTCCTGCCTTAAATCCTTCTTGGTTATGATGTATAATTCCTTTCATATGAAGCTGGATTTGGTTTGCTAGTACGTAGTTGAGGACTTTTGCATCCAAGATGAAGGCTAAGTCTGCAGGATACAATAGTCAGAAGCAAACCCTATTTCACCACCGCCCAATAGTGTAGGGTGAGACTGAACATAGGAGGAGTGGTTAAAAGTCTTTAAAAGAATGAGACGCACAGATTCCCTTTCCAACCTTGATGGAAGACTGGAGCTTTACTTCCTAAACTTGGGATGCCAGACATAGCTGAGAGCAGGAATGAGGTGCTATACCTAAAAGAGGGAAATTAAGTGAAGGCATAGTTAGTGATTGGAAACCTCATTACCTCTTCCCTTCTCAGCTCCAAGAATGCTGGCAGCCAGGATTATACCTGCGGGGCAAAAAAGATCAACAGAAAATTAGGTTTGTGGCAGATTCACCTTAAGGTGAAGTTACTCACACCTGGAGAGATTCTACTCAGCATTTTAGTGCCTCAGGCTTTACTGAACATCCCAAGATCACCAACCATTTGAGAAAAGCCTCTAATATCAAAGACAGAACTGAAAACATACATGCAAGAAAGAGGACACAGAACAAAGCAAACAGTGGAGGGAACAGAAGAAAAAGTACCAAAAACACCCCCAAAAACAATAAAGTGAAAAACAGCCAAACAGACAAAAATCTATACTTTCAGATGAGAGAGCGGGAAAACAGAAAAGATTCAAGGAGGAGTTAATCTGGATCTAACACATATATGACAAAAGTGCCATTCTCTCAGAGTAATAACCAAAGTACTTCCCATGACCTGCAAGGCACTGTGGGATCTGGCCCTCTCCTCCTCTGCATCGCAGACCTTATTCTCCCCACTCTCTTGCTCACTGCACCCTCCATTCTGGCTTCCTTGCTTGGAACATGATGGATGTGCGCCCACCCAGAGCCTTTGCTCATCCTCTCCCCAGTGTCGAAAACACTTGCTCCTGCATCTCCTCCAGGTTTTTGCTTAAATGCCATCTTTTCCATGAAGCCTGTTTGGAAAACCTCCATGTAAATTGTAACATTCCTCACCTTGACCCTTAGTATCTCATATTTCAGTCAGTGTTCTTTCCAAAGCCCTTCGAATATACGATCTAATTTATTTTTGTGTGTGTGTTTATTGTCTAGAACATAAGCTCTTCACAAGAAGGGAATGTTGTCTGTTTTATTTGCTGCATTCTCTGTGTCTAAAAAAGTGCCGTGCACATAGTAGGTGTCAATAAATATTTGTTGTTTAGTGGCCTCCATGCCCAAACATGGGCCAAGAATATTCAGGAAGGCCGTTTGGTTTCTGTTGTGGTTGCCATCAGTAGGAGCAGCAGCTTCTTCGGTCCCTCCACCCTTCCCTTCACTCACTCAGTCTCCCAGCAAAAACGATGTTAACTCTTAGACACCCACTGTATCCACGACTCTATTTTAGTAACCACCAACCTCTGCCTGGTCTCTGCTCTAGACATTAAAATAGAGCATCTTGCTTTTTGTAACCGGGAGAAAATAAAGGGATATGGGACGGAACAGCTTTTACTGGGGAAATACGTGTGTCCATGGTGTGTGTCTATGTTAAACGTATAGATATATACAAATTTTACTTTTAACATTAGATAGTGGAGAAAGCTAAGGGAGAATGAGAATCCGATTTAGAAGGAACGTTAGTGAAAATCAAAATGAGTTGTTAAGTTATATGATTGAGATCTTTGAAAGTTGTTTTTCCACCTAATCTATTGGGCCGTCGGGAAAGTCATGACGTATTTCTCTATGTTTTTCAATGCAAAAATGTGTCATGACTTTCCCGATGACCCAGTAGCATCTAACTGTGTATTCCTTTAACAAAGTAACCTGCCAAAGCTTTAGAATTTTAATCAACATATTAGCTTATGGGAATATTTAAAATTAAATTAAAAACTTAGATTAACCATAGCATTTCACTATGTCAGCTATATTTTACTAAAGTTATTTTTTTTTAATCAGGTTATTTTAAGTTCCATGATAAAAGAATGTGAACAAAAAGTAGAGAACAAGACTGTCCAAGAGCCTCAAGGGTAAGACATTCTTTCATTGTTTAAGGTCTCATGTTAACCTTAATTTCTCTAAATTTTCTACACATGGGTATAGTGTTTTATTTTGTGTTATTCTGTAGTCATTTATTTGGAAGACAAGAACAGCCTTTAAATCGGCAGTTCTCAATTGCTAGTCCATAAACCGTCCGTATCAGAATGATCTGGGGAATTTGACTTTCAGATCTCTCCACCGTTCTGTGTGCCCTCCTCTCAACATCCCGATCCAGCCTAGAGATCTGTATGTTTAAAAGCTTCCAAAGAGACTCTGATGTGTAGCTGGCTTGAGAATCACTGGTCCAAATCATTCCTTAGAAATCTGCGCAGGAGTTTGTAGGATGTAACATGATGCACGGCATAAAGAATTGTAAACTTGTCAATATTCTAATCCCATGCTTCTAACCAGACTAATTAGAACTCAGAGATTTGGTGAAATTAAAATACAAACATACGCGTACATGTGAAAGAGTAAGGTTGGGCCTTCGGGAGCGGAAGTACTTTATAAATAGACTGTGTGTGCTCTTAACTCTTGCTGAACTAACCTTGAGCAGTTAATCTTCAATGGACCCTGTTACATAAAAAGCTCAAAGGTGTTTCCTTTATAAAGCTGACTGCCAGGAACAAGTGTCTCATCCTATCAAGCTAGGTACACGCGAGCGTGCGTGCACAGACACACACACACACACACGCACGCACACAGCCGTTTGCCTCTTGCTGTGTGTCAGAATGCTTTCTTTAGCCTCCTAGGGCGGTAGGACCTCTTTTGCCATCTTAGCCGTGGAAAGTTAAAACAATAAAAATATTTTAGGGTAGGTTTCTATTCTGAACACAAAATTCATAATATTAACAGCAAAGCAAATACTTCTGTTAATTTACCATACATTGAATATTAAGATTATTTGGTGCCTTAGTTTAAAGCGTGAAAAGTTTGGAGACAAAATTCAAAAGAATTATATACAAAATTTAGAAATTTCATGAATTAACGTGCAGGAAGTTAAAGATAGAAATGTTTTATTTTCTAAAACTTACGAGAATTTCAAATAAACATAAAAATAAACAGCTAATATAATGAATTCCCATGTACTCCTCACTCAGCTTCAATAATTATCAACTCATAGTCAGTTTTATTTAATCCATATCCTACCACTTTATCCCTCCCATAATCTGGTATGTATCTCTAAAAGATACATGCTATTTTTAAAACCATAAACATAATATCAGTGAAAACAAGAATTAGATTGCTGTGTTTCTTGAAGGCCAAACACATCTTATCTTGTAGGGAGTAAGTGGCCATTGCACACCTTTGAGAAGGGGTAGAATATGAAGAAGTGATTATTTCAGAAGTTATTCCGATAATGCAAGGAGACCAAATCTAAGACTGTTGGAATAATTCAGTTGTAAAGTATTAGCAATAGAAATAATAATAAATGATAAGAAATGTTTCATAGAATAATGTCACAGGATTTGATGAGTGGTCTGAAATAAAAAGAGAGCCATTATAGTCACTGTTGGGAAGAGAGCAAAAATGGTGGAGACACTGGCAAATAAAGAAATAGAAGTTTGGAGTTATTTCTAAAGGTAGGATATGAAAAAAGGTTTGAGGTGTTTGGACTTTATCTAGCAAACAACAGCACTATGGCACTGGCCCTCAGGACAAGGGTTGTAATTCAATAAATATTTTGGAGTCATCCTTACAGAGATGATATTTGAAACTTTGAGAATAAGTTTTGTAATTGAAGAACCAAGAGCCAAATGCTAGACCTTACTTTGTGGGTCCACCACCACACACCACCACCCCGCGTGCCCTCTCCCCGTGCCCGTCTCCGTCCCCAACTCCTTGCCCTTTACGTCTTCAAACATTCCCTTATTTAGTCCTCAGGATATTTTGCAATAGTAATTGCAGTCTGCGTTTCACAAATGAGGTAACTGAATCAGAGCAGTCTAAAGCATCTTGGCCAAAGCCACAGACCTTAGATAAGCCGGCTTCCTGAGTCCATTACAGCATAATTGTTGGGTTACTGAAAAATTATACTTGATCAGTGTTCCATTCAGTAGTGTGATAAATCAGCAATCTTTACTAGTCGTTTAGATTACAGTTGCTCCCTACGGAGAAGGTTGGTCAAAAAAAAGGAAGAAACGGATTTGAAATTGTTGATTGAAACTAATGCAACTTGCAGTTGACAACATGCTCCCTTCCCCCCCCCCCAAAAAGTAATACATCATAGGATTGTTATCAACACAGTACAACAACACAGACCTCACTGTGATTTAATTTACTCATTTGTGAAAATAGGGATAATATTCTCCAGGGTTGCTGTAAGAATTAAATGAATGATGCTAATACGAAGAAGAACTACTAACACTTAGGGCATGGAGTTACGTGCCTGGCACTGCTAATGAGCACTTTACACACACATAATCCTAATAGTCCTATGCAGTAGGTAATAGAATTATCTTCATTTCCCAGATGAGGATTACATTAAAAATAAGATTAAATAACTTGCCCAAAGTCACACAGCTGGTAAATGCCAGAGCCGAGATTCAGTCTCATTCCGGACTCGCTCCTGACCACGATACCATACTGCTTCCTTTAATATAAACGATGAACATGAAAGCTAACTGAGGGCGGTGCGTAAAAACTCCTCTCCATAGATTAATTGCCCTTTTGTGAGACCAGTTCAGAATGTATTTATTCACGTTATTTTACTACTAAAGAAATTAAAACAACAGGCATTTTAGTTTTTTAATTGTTTTCCATGAATTTTGAAATGTCTTCCCCAGCTCAATGTCCATTGCTGCAAGCTTAGTGAGTGAAGATACGAAGACCAAGTTTTTGAACAAAATGGGCCAGTTGACAACGTCAGGTGCCATGCTGGCCAATGTGTTTCAGAGAAAGAAGTAAAGGCAGGAAGGAAGCCCCCAGCAAACATACGGTGGACCTCAAGCAGACTGGTTCCTTGTACTTGAAGTACTTGCCTTTTTATTTCTTTGTTTTACGTTCTTGCATTATAATTTTATCCTAACCTCCAAAGATGTTTGCACTCTTTTGATTATTGCTGTATATCTGTTCATTTTGGAGTTACAACTGTGGTGATAGAAAATTGAGTTGATAGTCTGTACCAAGCCCCTCTTATATGTTCCTGTCTTTCGGAATAATTTTTTAATATATATATATATAGTGAAGAGTTTTGTTTTTGTTTTTTTAATTTTTGGATGGGATATTAGCAAATATCTGTATTATACACTAAGCTATTACAATGGTACTTAAAATAATGTAAATTTGAAGTCATTGTTATAAAGTAATAAAAGTGGAGATTACTTAATATTTAAATTATGAAAGAATAATGCAGACTTTGTATTGTTTCTTAACTGACTAGAAAGAGCCACCAGCATTACTCTGTGCCTTTTGGACTTTAGTTTGTGTGTCTGTAGGAACGATGTGCATTCCATTCACGCAGTATTTATAATGCTGTGCTGAATCTGAATTACAAATCCTACAGTAAGTAAATAATAATGAAACTTTCAACATTTCAGAGCTCTCATGAATATTCTTTAAGTGCTATTTAAACCTCCCCAGCACTGACATGCGTATAATGGACTTACCTGAGGAAAGACAGCACATAGCACGGGGAGCAATAACCAAGGTGGATTTTACAAACTGGTGTGTAGTAGATTTAAATATTCAAAAATAAGTGTAAGTGAGAAGAGCTTATAATTGTGAAATTTCTTCCCCAATTGAAACACAGAAGAAAATACAGTTCGAATCTGAAATTTAACACTTATTTATGTAAAACATTTTATTTAAGGTATTTTGTAATGATTTTAATTTCAGAGAGTATCTTTGCATTCTGCGTGTTATAGAGAAGTACTGAAAAGTTAAGGACATTTGGGGGCTGCTTTTTCCCTCTGACGTGAAAATGACATTGACTCTTTTATTGTTGGGTAGTTAACACCTTGTTCCTTAAAGTCAGTGGCCATTCTTGTGTTTGGCATGTGTCACATAATCTTAAGTCGGTCCACTGGATTTGAGAGTTGAAGTAGAAAAGAGTGGTGCTGGATGTAGAAGGGGGATGATTGGTTTGAGGGGTTAATGTGAGGCCTTTTTGAAAAATGAGTATTTTAATAAAAAGAATTCTCATCTGAGCACAGTTGATGCACATAGGAGATTCTCATGTTTGTTGTATAAACTGCTTTGATACACTGGGAACATAGTTACTCTTCCTGGGAAAGCTACCTTACCACACTCTCAAGCTTATAAAATGAGTTGCCATAGGCAAATCCATTTTTAAAGTTTATTCTGACATTATTTCTTTTACCTACAGTGAAATAATTGTTAACTAGTCCTTCTGGAAACTGTTGGATTCTAGGCATTCCTGAGAAATTGAAAGTGGCTACCTTTCATGTCAAAAATGCTGATCTATTATAAATAAAATGTTTTTGCATACTTGTTTTTGTTTTGTTTTTGGTATGTGTATTTATTTTCATTTTGAAACCCTGGAGCCTATATCCAAGTGAAAGGAAGTGAGAGAGATTATAGTCATTAAAATGTACTAATGTGTTATTTTAAGAATATAATCTATATGAATTACCTATTTTAATTTACTTTTACTAAAAAAAGATTGCTACTATAAAATAAATACATGTGAGATGATTTAAAGAGAAATGTTTACACTCTCATTTGCTTTGAACTATAGTAGAATAAGTATGTTTGTTACTAGGTAAATAAATATAATGTAATTTTATTGTGATAATTTTTGTTAATTTGTGAATGCATATATCTAAATGCTAATGGTATTTTAAAAGGCAAGAGCTAACAAGATACACAGTGTATTTCAAGTGAGTCTCCCTTATTATGCTGTCAAATATCTAAATGTCAGTAAGACTTCCCATTGATTTTCACATTGGTTTTTATAGTAAAATATGGATTCTTTAAAGACAAGATAGGCACTGATCAGTGAGACTCTGTCCTTCCAAAACAGGCCATAAAACTCCCATATTCTTTTTAAACAGAAGTAAAAACAGTACAAGTTTAAGCATTCAACTTAGCAAAAAGCTAAGTTTGCAAAGTAATGAAAAGCTGTTTTGGAATTATGCCTGTGTTTCAAACACAAGCCAGAGATTAAAATTTTTAATGAATCCAGAAGTGCTATAGTCACCAATTTTGCTGAATTATCCCAGGAACGATGCTCGAATGGTAGAGTATCTATCTCTATACCTAAGTGTCCTTGACCTTTATTTGTTTGCATCAGTCACCCCTTTTGAAAGATTACTTAGCTAAACATCAAATTGACTTAAAACCTGAATGAAATGTTAAATAATTTTAATAGGATCTTAATTCAAGATGCTATGAAATTGCTTTTCCTTAGAGAAAAAAAATATATAGTTCAAATAAATGGTCTCTGATAAAGTTTGGAGATCAGTATGTACTGAGTTGCCTTTTCATGACTTCATTAAGATAACCTATTTTGGACTATGACTTCAACTTGAAGAACATAACTTTCTTTAGATACCACTTTGTTGATCTTTGAGTTATGATAAGTAACTTCAGCTAACATTTTCTTCTGGTTACCGATTTCTTAACTATATTTTTGTGTGTAAAGAATATATATTTAAAGAGCTTTGCAATTAGCAATTTTAATTCCAGATTGGCAAGGTAACAAAATTCCAACTTTATGTTGGATGTTAACTCTCTTATAAGCAAACTATGAAATAAATTTAGCGTTTTGTATGAATAGACACATTTTTGACAGATCTAATGTAATTTTACAGTGGACTTGTTTTTGTTAATTTTATTTCAGTGCATTTTAAAAACTAACAGATTAGGGATATATACTACTAATCAAAAATAATGTATCTGGAAGATTTCTGCACTTTGGTCAAATCATTGGATTTTAGACTATTTTCTTACTACGTGAGGATGTTCTACGTGCCTTTCATCTGTGGAATCAGTGCTTTAATCATAATCTCAGAGTGGCACGGCTGGTCATTCATTTTCCCTTCAGGACTAACTGCAGGAAACTTTGCTTTGGTTGTCTTCTTTATGGTTTGCTTTGCATGTTTAAGAAAACTCTTAAATAAAAATTCCTATTCACTATAAAACCAACCAATTATAAAGTACATAGCAATGCAAACATAACACAATATAAAAAACTTTATTTTTTTGATAGTATATAAATAATTCCTCCAGTTCATTGTGGTGAGGAATGTAAATTATTTGCTTTTCTCCAAAGAGTCTTCAATAATATCTGGAAAATTCTGTCTAAAGCATATCTATCTAGAAGACTGTATTACTTACTATTTTAATTCCTTTTGTTCCATTAAAGACTAATCCATTAAATTTATTTCAATTAGGTCATGGTATAAATAGATTTCTTGAGGGACTTTAGTAAAATTTATGATGTCTATAAGCTAGCATTTTGTGTTATATGTTTTAGGTGTTAAATTCTTTGTCAGTGATTTATTTAGGGTTGTCATTTGTTGACAGTTTAAGTTTTTAACTACTACCTTATTGGAAAAGTAACCCTTTGTCGTACTGTTGGCATTTGCAACCTCAGATATTTTTAGGATATGTATGTTCAGTGAAGCTGAAAATATTATAAATTTCTCTATATAAAATATACATTGCTAAGTAGTATAAATCTAATTGACTTTGATTTCATAAATGCTTTATCTTCATTTGTGATAATTACTTAACAATTAAATTTTTAACTCTCTCTGTTCATAAGCCTTTCTGTCGTGTATTAAATATTGAACCTAAGGTGAATACTTTTCATAATGTAAATAATTTCTTAATTTATCTTTGTATGGGTTTTATAAATATAGTTAGTTTTGTAACAGATTTTTTTGTCTTATAATGACAGCATGGAAATAATAATGCTCTCTATTCATCACAGCACTTTATGAAAATTACATAATAATAAACCTGAAAGTGCTTTAGCATTTAAAAAGTAGCATGAAATTTCAAAGCATAATTAAAATTTTTAAATCACTGAATCACTAAAGCATGGGTAACCCCTTGCCCCATACTTTGTTTTCTAGAAAGTGAATAGGTAACATTCAAGGCATAATTTACCTAAAATTGCAGTAGGATGCAGAAACCACTTTTGATTGTTACTTTTGCCTCCTTTAACACTCCCAGAGTTTCCAACCTAGTGAAGACTAATAAGGTAATTTTACTTTATCTTTACAAAACCTGTGGTTAAATTTTTTCTAAAAACCTAAGTAAATTAGTTTAATGAATTGATTTTTTTTCATGACATAATTAGGTTTGAAAAAGATTTTACCCTTTGAACTTTACGCATGTCTATTACTATACATTTGATTCTTGTAATAACTAGCTTTCTTTGATATTTAGTTTGAACTTCCAGACTCCCTGTAACTCATCTTTTCATACTGATGGAAGAAGAATAAGAACTGGCATTTCTTGAAAATAATTGGCTCCTGGTGTTATGTAAGAGAAGGAAACTGTTCAGTTAACCATTGACCAATAATAAAGTTAAGCTTCTTGCTGAAGCTACAAAAGTCTTTAGATCTTAGCAGGTAAATGCTACCCATCAACTTTGGAGACCATTTTGTCGTCTTTGTTATACTAATAAGACACAATGTTGTAATGTAATAATCCTCAACAAATGACAAGAGGTGACAGAAGACTAGAGATGGACAAATGCTCTGATTTTCAAATCTGTGCAGCCAGTAGATATGAAGTGTGGACCACCATTTAGTTCTGAATCTATATAAAGCTTCACATTGGCCTTTTCTGACCACTCAATCCAAGGAACCCGTCACTCTCAGATCACCTCGGTTTTTCCTTTTCACAATTACTCTTAGCAGTACTCATTTTCTTGTTTTTTGTTGTCTGTCTCACTCGACTCAGCTCCATGAGAGCAAATGTTGTCTATTCTTTTCAACCAGTGTCTCTCCAGTGGTGTATAAGTACTCAGCAAACATGGACTGAATGAATTAATGAATTGTTGAGTTTGATACAAATTCCATGCAAGTTTGCCAATTGGATTAAAAGGATGATTTATGGGCATGATTTGAGTCCCCCAAGCAGCACAAGTCTCCTGAGACTACATGCCAAGCTAGCCTATTGTCCTTTTCGTAGCACTGTCTCCATCGCTCGGGAGAATGTGTAGTTTTATGCATCATGACCTCAGCAAAGGATTTTACTGTGTTTCGCATTATGTCCTTATTTATATGTGCTAAGTAAAATTGCAAATAAAAAGTTGTGTCCTATGTGTGGCCTAAAAAGTTCTATAGTACTTTGTATTCATATCTGGCTCTCTGGACAGCACCTCTTATCACCAAACCTCACCCAAGTTTTCCAAGTCATTTCCAAGTGTGGAGAAGCCATCTCTTTCTAAAGATGAATAGAGTTCTTCAGCATTCAGCGTGCATTTATGGAGTACCTATTTGTGCTAGGTACAGGAGTGCAATGAGTAAGACACATGGAACAGAGCAAGGAAACAAACAGGCTGAGAGAGGAGGGTGGAGGAAAACTTACTTTAGTAAGGTAGGGTGGTTATCTTTATGGTTTACTTTGGAAGACCCTCTGAGTGACATTTTACCTGAAAACGAGGAAGAAGAGGCTTTAACCATGTGAAAAAAGGAAGAGTCGAGGAACAGTATGTGCATAGACCATGAGATGAAAACCTGCTGTGTTCAAGGAACTGAATTAAAAAAAAAAAAAAGACCAATATGGCTAGAGGATATTGAATGAAACAAAGTATCAAAAGATGAAATTGGAGAGGGGAATAGCCAGATCACATAGGGCCTTGTACAGTATGGTTAGAAGTTAGAAAGGAAAGCTTTTGAATAGTTGAAGTAGTAGAATGACTTCATCCAATTTGTGCTATGGTCAGATACACTTCTTTGTAAGAATGCCCTGTCGAAGGGCATGAGGAGAGCCTGAAGGCAGGAGAGCTAATGAATGCACTAGTCCAAGCAAGAGATGATGGCGGCCGACCAAAAATGAAGGGAAAGGGGCGGGCCTGAGATATTTTGGAAGGAGAACTGGCATGACAAACAAGGTATGAAGAGTGAGGGAAAGGGGGAAATTCCGGTCACAGATTTATGGCTAGAGTAAATAAGAGGTAATGACTATGATGAGGACGTGAAGTAAGGAACAAGTTTGGGGAGTTAAATCTACAATTTTGTTTCAGATGTGTTAAATTTGGCATGTCTGTGTTAGCGGTGGAAATGTTAAGTAGGAAGTTAGTTACCCAGGTCTGGATCTCAGGAGAGCAGGATTGGAAAATACAGACTATGGGGTCATCGATGTTTGGATGAAGCCATGGACTAAATGAGATGGCCTGAGGACAGAGTAACTGTGGAAAAGAGAATCCAAATCTGAACCCTGGGACACTCCCATATTTTGGAAATTCAGCAGAGCAAGAGGAACCACTATAAGGATCAGGAGGAGTGAACAGTGAGGTAGGAGGGAAA